GTCTCTTTTCTGCTCGGTCACTCTTATTGAGGCCGACCGTGCTCGTCTCTTCCACAGATCAGATCTTAGGTCACTCTAATCTCTAAACACATTCATAAAGCTGCTCGTAGCGTCTAAATCCTTCAAACACAAAACAGCGTCTCCGTTTAAAGCTGGTCTTAACTTACCTTTCATTTGCTTCTGCAGGGTGGAGTTTTCAGCCTGGAGGCGGAGCAGCTCTCCATCTACGGGGCTGGAGGCGGGGTTGGGTGGTGGGCTGGACTTTGAGGCTCCGCCCCCTTCCTTCAGGCCCTGGTTCTCCTGCTCCAGCTGTTCGATCTGCGTGCACAGCTGGAACAAAGCGTGGTGTTAATATGACAGCCGTGAGCTCCTCCAGGGATCCCGGCTGGACCAGACCTCACCTTGGACAGCTCGGTCATCAGAGTGCTGTTCTGCAGCCGGAAGTCCTCCTCCTGGCTGTGCAGCTTCCCCTGGAGCATCTCATTCTCACTGAGCAGAGCCTCCACCTCCTGCAGGCAGCAAGCAGCAGCTGTTAGGAGCCGTCAGGGAACTTTAACATGCATACAGTAGCAGAGGCTCGTTTAGCTTCATATCGACCCAGTCAGGAGGCATCGGACCCAACCAGAACCATCCTGCAGAACTACAACAAGTTATGAAGACACGATAAAGAGCAAACAGTCCTGTAAAGATCTGCCAGAACCAGGTCCAGAACCAGTCTGAAACCAGGTCCAGAACCAGGTCCAGGACCAGTCTGACACCAGGTCCAGGACCAGGTCCAGGACCAGTCTGACACCATGTTCACTGGATAAAATCATGCGTTTAATTAATTCAGTCTCATTCATGTAAGATGAAACTGGCTGGTGAAGCTGAAATAAAGAACCAGATCCAGACAAACTGAATGTGTGTCAGAGAACACGCTGAGGTAACCTGAGGTAACCATAGCAACCGAAACTCACCTGAGCTTTCTTGCTTTTATTTAAAGCCTGAAGAGACAAAAACACAAAAACAACACCGTGAACAAAATGAAAGCGTTGAGCAGCAGCTGATGAATGAATGTTAAAGGTTCTGGACCTTCTGCGCTTTGACGAAGTCCCTCTCCAGAACCAGGTTCTTCTGGCGGACGGAGTTCAGCTCTGAAACACAGTCATTCCTCGTTAAAGCTTCAACACCAGCTGATGAATCATTTAGTTTATAGATCATTTCATGCTGATCCGTTGCAGTGGAGCCTCTGAACTCTAAAGCGCTCCATGACTGCTACACACTGACATGAACAGCAGGTGGCGCCAGAGCACCGGTCAGACTGCACCGCTGATGGAGACACAGTTCTCAGTGTTGACACTCAGACTCTATTATGTTCTTTCAGTGCACATGAAGGCTGCAGACGGACCAGGAGGCTGGAGGCCCGGCCCACTGAAGCAGGTCAGCATTTATAGTCACACTTTGAACTGAACCCATTTAATCCACTGTTTAGACCAACTGATGTGAGTGATTTGTTGTTTCAGTTTATTTAGTTTTTTATTTTTATTATTCATTGTAAATGTGATGCACAGTTTAAAAGCAGCACATGGATAAAGTTCATCGTTAGATGGATAAACTATCAGTCATCACCACATTACAGGTTCTCTGTTGTCTTTGTAAACCCCGTTTCATCCAGAACAAGCTTCACAGAGACGATTAAGTCTAAGAAGAAGGAAAAACACTCACATCCAAAGTAGAGGATAAAGATTTAAACATGAGGCAGAGTGGAGTCATTGAGAAGCTGAACCGTGATCAGCAGAGACTGATGATCGTGGAGCTGTTTCAGCGGCGCTGCTGGTTAACCACAGCGGGTCTATAGCCGCTGTCAGGCCGTCTCTGGTGCACCGACCAGGCCGTCCGGTTTAGAAAGCGACCTGATTATCTAAAGAGACGAGGAGGGACGGAGACGCCTGATGGTCAGAGCAGGACGAAGCCCAGCGACCGACCCGGGGAAGGAAAACAGAACCACAAGTCAAATGAACTTTAACCACAGCAGCTGTTTTAGCTTCGACCCGTTACAGGAACACGACCTGCTGCAGCATCTACACTTAAAATGCTTCTAGTGGAGCCACACAGAGGTGAACAGATGTGTTCGGCTTCCTGTCTAACTTGTTAAGCACTGCACACATATATAGATATACAGCCGTCCTCAGGTGTGTTCACAGCCTCCCATTACAGGAGGAAACAACAGCTTCAGTCCCTGGAATACGCCGGCAAAGTAATGACAAATAAAAATGTGATGAACATCAGGACGCTGCTTTGAATTGTGGTTCAGCAGAAATCAAACCATCCTGATGGAGCCGTGAGCTAACATGTAGCTGAACAATCATCAGCAAAGGCCTCTCATTGGTCCACTGCTCATCAGCAAAGGCCTCTCATTGGTCC